TTAGCCCACTTCAGGATAATGTTATTATCTACCGAGGCTTTGGCTAAATCTTGGAGGCACTCTAGTACTAGGCCTCAGGTAACACGTTGTCTGTTCAAGGCTAATAGGGCTTGTCTGCTATAAGTGCAGATTGTTATGTTTTTGCCAGAAATTCCTTTCCTGGTTATTTCCCTTGTGGCGATTGAGATACCAGCCAGTTTTGTTTGAACCACGCTGGTATTTTTTCCCATTTCCATAGATGTGTAGATCATGCAAAGAAGTAACTTTCCGACACAAACTGAATAAAAAAACTCCCATGAAAGAGCTACTTGTTGTNAAGTACTTGATGAAAATAGCTGCGTAAATGCAAGCGAAACATAAGTGGAACCACCTATTGGTGTGACACCCAAGTCAACTTATATTATATTTATATATAGCTTCTGATAATTCTCCATATTCTTCATATTCTCTGTTTCACTATCACTGACGTCATTTAAATCAATAACGAATTCATTTTCACTATTGATATGGAAGTGTTCAATCTCCATATAGTCTTTTTCAACAAAAATTCCCTTTTTTTAATCCTTTTTTGCCAGTCTTCTTCGGTAATATTAGATACTTCTTCTTTAACTGGCTCTAGCATTATCATTGATTTTAACATGCCCCCCTGAAAACCGAAGTTGTGTTTCACAATTTTTTTTCAGTATATTCAGATTAGCTTGTTTTAACTGTAATGCACTGTATGTGTTGATTTTAGAAAACTCGAAACTCCCTAAAAATAAGAATGTAAACTCTCACTGCCGGAGATAATTGCGTGAAAGCTATTTTTCGGGTTTTTTGGCCATGATCCATATTAACACCAATTAATACAGTTTATTTGATGCGTAAACGCTTGAGAAAGGTATTGTATAGCGAAACACGTGTTGCGGTTTTTGTAAAACCGTTTGTAGTGAAAACCGTACAATAAACTTTATTAATTAGTTTTAAAAAAACTGTACTCAATGGTATATCAAACAGGTCAGGTAATCCAGGTCAGGAAATCAAGCCACAACTCGAATACCAACTCGGGCACTGCGACTGTTACAACATCGCAATTGATAATGCTTACCGCAGTAGTAGACGAAACGTCAGGCATAAAAACCTGCAGAAAACGGCCAAAAAGACCGAAAAAACGCTTTCATTTTCTCAAAATAGTTATTCTGAACTTGGTGCAAACAATTTCAATTAACTAGCCAGCATCAAATTTTTCATCGGAAAATTACAGACAGTTCTATCTCTTTTTTTGAGCGTTTCTATTCGTCCGCCATAACGAACGGAAAATTATCTAAAGGCATAATTAGGAAATAATGGAACGTTATCTGTAAACGCCAGTCGATTCATATTGAAGTAAAACATGAATTTTCGATAAGTAGAAGCTGTACAATGGACTGACCAGGTGTTGTAGAATGCTTAGTAATCTTCGAGACAGTTTCGTGATATCGGCCAATATTTTCGGTCAAGGTTTTGAAGACCGTTTTGGGGCCAGTCACTGTGAGTATATATTTTTTTGCAGCACCACATCATCTGAAGATCTTGATCTACCAATGAAATATTGTATTATTATTATTTTTTCATGGTCTACCTTTCAGAATTGATCATTAATCTAATTAAGTTTTGTGATAACCTACTGTTATATGAAATATATCGTTGAATAGTTTGATGTAGCAGTAACTGATGAAGCTAGTGTGTACCGAAACGCGATTTAAATTAAATGCATAGTGCGAAAATTGTATATTTTTTCATCAAGTACTCATAAGTACTCAGCGTACTCATAATTAGTTACGTTCAATACTTTTCAAAACTGATATGGTGAATAATATATGAAAATTGAGCCAGAAGGATTTTTCAGTCGCTATTTTTTTTTCAGCCGCCACTGCCTGTTGACGTTCGTTGTTCTTGGAGAGATTTTAATCTAATGTTTGTCATATCGTGCGGCTAGAGCTCTGCGGCGAACTAAATTCTCCGGTACAAAATTTAATATTTGCATATCGTTAATTAAAATGTCATTTGCATAATCCCAGCACGACCGTCTCATAACCCAGTGAATGCAAGAACACGAGTCCGCAGCATTTCAAACAATCCCTATGTTCAACTGGCGATTTAGCTGATGTCTGGCTGCGGATAAAATAATTTTCATTGCGTTTTTAAATGTACTATACAGTAACCGGCTAACTTATGGAACAAAATTATTACAGTTTAAAAAAGTAGTGACGCCTGTCGAATATAATCCAACGCCCTTCGTGGTATTAGCCAGGGGAGTAGTTGTTTTCTGATAGGCGTCAGTCCATTAAACCTACTGCGTAGGTATATAGAGACTGGCTTGAACGTTTGAAGTTCATTTGTTTTAGATTTTAGAACAAGAGGAAGTTTGTAAGATTACAAAATGATTTCCTTAAATATGGCTCCATGTTAAAAGCGCCTTCAACATTACCAAAACCTGTTACTTCAAATGAGGACAATACTGTTAACGTTTTGGCACATTTTTATGCATTATGTATTAATATACGGGGTGTTCCATTTAAAAAATGAAGTTGCTAGCACTTTTTGATGGAAGGGGCAACGCCGCAATGATGAAAATATTTTAGATCGATAGAATAGGTAAGGAAATGTGAGAAGTGAAGTTTTCAGAAAAATCATGCTTTGCGTTTTCCAGAAACGTCTAACCTACCATCGACCGTGAGTCACGCTATATATAGTATCCTAAGGAGGATACTATCACGTATTCCTAGAAACGACTGATTGGGGAGCTTTCTGTTCACTCGTATTTATACCTTTTAGAAAATGCTGGGCGTGGTGGTGGGTGGAGTGTCCATGCGTTTATCTCTCCTGATTGGGCCGCACTTGTGCTAGGTTGTTTTCATTGGTCCACATTGTTGACAGGTATGCTGCTGGTGGGCTGTCGACCGGAGTTTTAATTTAGTTTAATTCGGGCCTTCTTCAGTATTGACCCTATACCTCCCTCTTTTCTTTTGAAATTTTTGGGATGCTCATAAATCTCATTGACCTCCTTATGAAGGCGTGTGTGGTCTGTTTCTGAGACGACATGTTCTATTATTGCTATACTATACATATCTGTTATATATGGGCTATACTAATTTTTTTGTATCCTGATGTTGATGCTGTTTTGGTGATTTCGAAATGAACTGAGCAACAGGAACGAGAAATCCTCTAAACACTAGAAGATGTCAGGTGTTCCTTCTCTTTTTGGCCGGTCTATTAGTTGGTTTGTAAATGATTTTAATGTTGTGAATTTTGAACATTTCTACAATGTAGTCTGTGACTTTGTTTATGTCATGCAAGTATACCGTTTCTACTACTGGCGGCTGGATCATGGTTAAGTTGGAATATTCCTTCTAGAATATAGGGCACTTCCAATTTCATGTGCTGTAAACTCCAATAGCAAATAAAGCTTGGACCAGATAACGAAGTTTTTTACAAATCCTGGTGGCATAGTCAACAAGGGTTTTCCGGATAGTTCTTGTTTTGGGACACCAATCAGCTTGAGGTTTGCGATGAACATTGAACAGTGTGTTAGTTTTTCTGTCATCCAGAACAACCAGAAATGTTATATTTCCTTCATTTTCCAGTTTTTTTATGGTAAACTGACGTTTTTGTTTGTACTAATTGAAATTTGGGTATTAGCCAGGAAAGTATTTATTTCCGACAGAAATTTCTCATATATTAGTATGTAGAAACGTTGAGAAAGGTGAAGTTCAATTCGAAGTATAGACTTACTTAAAACTTATGTATCTTTTCTCAATACAGTCTTTAAACTTATTTTGATTTTTTAATTCGGAAATATTACAATCAAACAAATTTCTGTTCATAAGTGTGTGCAATACCCATTAGAATTTCTGTATTTGTAAATTGATTTACAGAACAATGCTGACCGGACTGTTAATCAATGAGAAACCGTAAAGCTTCGTTTTACGTACATGCTTCCCCAATGCATAGTAAGCGGAATTAATGAATTTGTGTTCGTTTCGTTACCGCGATCGGTCTTTCACTTTCTATAATACGGTGTCAGGTGTGGAATAGAACCAGCTGTGTACCCGGAAAAATTTTATGGTGTCTACAAACACTTTCGAATTGGAATTGATATTAGTGTGTTTTTTTCAATTGATGAAAGAAACATAGTTGATGTTTATTGAAGATAGATATTCGTTCATTTATTCGATTCATAAAATTATGCATATAATTATATCATAAAAATATCTACAAAAAATGTATCAATACTTTTTTTCTACGAGCCACCGTTTTTGAGATATAACGATTCAAAATCTTGTAGTCGTCATAATATGCATGAGTATGCCACGTATATACATCTCTGTAGTTATAAAATATTTTTCTATTTTTCTAAAATGAAACCCAGTCCCTTAATTTATACGCCATTGTAACCTTGAGACAACATCTATCCCCTGTTCAACTGTGTGCGTGGCTGCTCATCAACATCTTTTTCGGGTACATTACCAAGTTCAAGTGTGGCTTGGTTATCAGCTAGACCCTACAGACTGGGGTTGGAAGTTGGTCAACAATTCAGGAAAAACTGCTGAACACAATTTTTTGCAACTGATTCCAACGAGGCGACATGCGATACATCGCTATTAACGCAGTTTAAATGTACTCAGGATGAAGATGAAGAAGAACCAGAAGAAGAAGAACACGACGAATAAGAACAAGAAGATCAAGAAGAAGAATTTGAAAGTTTAGTGTGGCCCTGCTCAGCCGTTCAAGCCCCCCCAGGTGCGGCCGACACCTTTCCGCCAGCTGTTTTCGACGCCTCCTCCGTAGGTCGGAGTGTACATCGCCGTCGATATGCGCAATCTCACAGTCCCCAAGTCACCCGGGCAACGAACAAAGCTCTTTCGCTGCAGCAGTTAGCAATTTAGTTAGCGTTTCGAACCCGTCCAGGTCCGCAATATGCCTCCCTCGAAGGTCTGTCGCCCGGTGCGCCAACGTGCGCAATGATTCGTAACCTCTCCGGAGCGGCTGTCACATTACTGAGTTCGTTTTCCCGCCTCCGAAACTCATTTCCCTTTTTCTCAAAGTTATATCCCACTCTAGAAAGTCATATCCCACTTCTGAAAGTTTCTTGCCAATTTTGAGATTTTCATTCCACTTCTGATAGTTCTTTATAACGTTTAACAGGGTTTTTGTTAATTCTGTTTCCATGATGGAAATTGAAGTCAATTTTTGCGTGGTTATTTTTTGAGATTGTTGCATTTTTATTATTCAGTACACACCTGACACCAGTTTGAAATTTTGGCGCTTTGGTTGACTACTGAATGATGTGGGGGGAAGAGAGCGAGATTTGCTCCATTGGAATGACAATGCATCCATCTGGTAGTGCTTCTTCGGGTAAGGTTATATTTTTTGTTAGAATACTGTTTTTGAAAAGTAGCGAAATAGACGTTTCATATCAGTCAGCCAGAAAAACTTTAATTTTCAAAACCNTATTTAGATGATGTGGTGCTAAGGTTTTCCCGGATTTTCCTGCAGCTGAAGTCGCCTCGGAGCGTCAATTAATTTTTATTGTTGTTTTATACATTTTTTAACTGTAGCTACTGAAGTAGATTGATATTGTCACAACCATGAATAATGGTTACGAACGAGGTAGTATTTTTAAGGATGAGGGTTATTTGAAAGAAGTTACGATGTTCTTTCGTAACTTCTTTCATGTTTTTTAGTTTTTTAAACTATATTTTTTATTGTATTGAAAACATACATAAATTTTAGGGTATGTGACCTTATTACGGCTCAAATCTAAAAGAGGAATCATGCAAATTTTTAGGTTACTCCTTGAATATTCCGCACAGATCAACATTTGTTCTGCTTGTTGTAACGTGGGTTTGTAACAGTCCTCTTCTACCGGCTAAATCCGCCCTCGCGTTGTTCACTTCATTCAAGTACGTATTTGTTATTCATCGAGGGGTACATTTTTCATGAACGTTCTCGATGCCGAGATTCAAAGAATTGTCTCGGTTGAATTTCAAATATGTAGGTCGATAGCCGTTCGTGTTGGATGTAATTATGTACACGCAAAGGGGTTAATGATGCAGGAACGAGTGGATTCGTTTGTGGGTCGATCGACCACGGAAAAATAGTCCATTCTCGACATGAATATTACATATATGTAATAAAGGGAGAAAAATGAATTTGTTGGAGGCCATGGAAATTAACAAATCAATTAAGAACCAGAAATATATACCCCTAAACGAGCAACTTGGTTTATGTAGGCCTGCTCTCTTGAATTTATGAGTTTAACAACCCCTAGAATTTTCAGGATGGTATTTTAAGTTGGCATCCTGTCTCTCAAAAAATACCTTTCCTTGCAGCATACCTGAAAATTCTATAAAATTGATATTTCAAAATTCGAATTTCAGTTTTATACTTAATAATGGGATCAAACCCGAAACCGGTCGTATAAATAAAATTCCAGTGGTATTTAGACAAAAGTGTTTTTATCCATTTCATTTAAGTGATCATGAATTACCATAAAGTAAACAAGTCATCAATCACACATATAAGGTAATATTAACTAAGGTAAATAGCGATAAAACAAATCAACGGTACAAAAATGTTTGAAATAGTGTACATATTGGCAACGCCGTAACTTGCTATCTTGTGACGTCATTCCCTTCTTAACTTGAATATCATATACCTCTTGAATTGAAGTTAATTGAGCTCTCTAGAGTCTTTGCTCTAGACCTCTTGGTTTATTGTATCCTCCGATCTTGTTAGGGAATATCTGGTATCCTGGTGTGGTCTATTAGTCTCCTCTTAGTTTCTCAACCGAGCAGCAGGTCATTGTATGCCTTCTCTAACTGCATAGTTTGTATCTTCTTCATTTACTCATGCATCTATCCTCTTTCTGCCTTATTTATATGCTCTCTTCAATTTAAAATCATGCTCTTTGCCCCTGAGCATACCCTGAAGCTGCTGAATTCCATCCAGGAAAGAGGCATCTACCTGATTGGAGATACGAATGCAACATTGATAGTTTGGATCATCGAAGAAAGGTTGGCGATTTTTTTCTCTTTTTTGGATATTTTCACAGGAAGTGTTCGAGTGACTTGGCACATTTGATTCCATCAAGAGCGGTACATATCAGAAATACGCGACGGACTGTGGCTGCTCATCGTTTCGAGGTTCAACCCAGTACACCTCGAACTCAACTGTAGCATCCATGGTGAATTTCTTTTTTTGAACCTTGAAGGTTTTCCTGTGGTGCTGTAGTCCTGTGATGTAGCTTCATATCATCTGGTCAGTAAAATTGTGGCTTTGATCACTCTTAACGAATCCAAGCGAAGTAATAAAGTAATACTTATCGTACTCAAATGAACGCAAATGAACTCGCAAAGTTGTCTGTAGACTTGTCTTTTCCTCCCTCTTGAAGGAATGCTTGAATTCGGCCTACACTCCTTTGGAGTAATGCAATTAATGAAAAACAGAGAGTTGCGTTTGATATTTTTCAAGGCCTTTTACCGTGTCTAGCACTAATTAAACTCCGATGTTATAAGTTTCCTAATTTCTGGCTGGGAACTCGAAGTTTTTATAAATTTTGACTTTGTATATATGGAATTTCTAATTTCAACTGAGGATTTTGCCAAATTTTGGTCCGAAAACTCGATTTTTTTCAAATTTAGAATTCAAATCCGCAATTTCAGTTGATTCCCAGTTCAAACTAGAATTTAACTAAATTTTTCCTCAAGACTCCGAATTTGACTAAATTTTGAACTTGTGATTTTGCTTAATTTTGTCTCGGAACTAGAAATGTTTCAAATTCTGAATCAATTCTTGGATTTTTTACTAAATAAAGTAGTTTAAAGTCGGAATTTCACTAAATCACAACTTTGAACGTGGAATTTTGTTAAATTTCGTCGTGGAACTTGAAAATTTTTAATTTTCGACTTTATACTTGTAAGTTTAGTAAATTCCCACTTTTTTACTGAATTCTGAATCTTCATGAACTTTTGTGAATTCTGACTTAACAAGTTCAACTTTGGAATTGTACCTAATTCTTCCTTCAAATTTTACAAAATTTTGAATTCCGAATTTCAACAAATTTTGATTTCCACCTCGGCATTTATTAATAATAGATAGGATTTTGATTAATTCAGGCTTGTAACTCGGATTTTTTCAAATTCCAACTTCAAACTCAGACTTTTATTGAATTCTGACTTTGAATTCAGAATGTTGCTAGTTCTGATTTTGTATTCGAAATTTTACTGAATTCCGACTTTAACCTCCGAATTTTACTGAATATATCAATAAATTTCAACTTCAAATTCGTAATTTTATTGAATTCCTAATTTGAATTCGGAATTTTATCAAATTCTAACTCGGAGCTTAGTGATTTTTGTTTCAAAATCTTTGGTTGCCATTTTACACCCCGGTACTAGGTTGTTTCAAAAGTTCTGTCCGTCTTTAATGAGTCTAGTTTGAACGGTAATATCTCAGTGGATACTTATTAAGTTTAATCGAAATAAGCGACATTTGAATCAGTACACTTTTTTCAAAGTAATAGTCATAACTCGAGTAAATCAAAGCCTCCATTGACTCGGCAATAAATAAATTTCTAACCGAACAGGTATTTATGAAAACCCTCTTCGATATTGTGTCCAAGGTTGTTGATGAAACCAACAGCAAAAACATTCGAATTCTGGAACAAAAAGTGGAGGGACTGGAAAACGAACTTCTACAAATTAAACAAGAAACGAAAATACAGGGTGATTCACTTGGAGTCGTTATGGAAGAAAACGAATCCTTTGCCGCTAAAATTGATTCAATAGAGCAGCTTTCTAAGAAACATAATCTGCGAATTTTCAATTCCAATGAAACCCCCAATGTAACAAAAAGCAATATTTGGCTAGGGCAAACAAATCTGTATAAATAATTATTGTACCAGGGGTTTTACAACAGAGGAGTTTGATCTTCATCTTGAAGATGACCACTTGGTGATCGAAACACGTGTCGAGGTGTTAAAATAACGGTTTAGTGTTGGAGAAAACTACAGTAGTATTCATTAGTACACCAAAGGTTCCATTCTTGTGAAAAGACTTTATAGTTACACCTATCTTCAAAAAAGGTGATCCAAAAAACTTTGTAATCATAGATCTATCTCTGTTATACCTAATTTAGCTAAAATCTTTGAACACTGCATCAAAAGTAGACTGTTAACAGTTTTCAGGGCGCATCACATTATAACAGAACTTCAATATGACTTTATATAGAATTCCAATACTGAAAATGCTATCTTAGATCTTACAAAAGAAATTATAGCTTCTCTTGACGAAAGAACTAAGTGTTTGGCGATTTTTCTGTACTCGGCCAAAGCATTTGACACTGTGTCTCTTGATGCACAGTTGAAAAAACTTGAAAGATAAAGAATTAGGAGAATATCCAAACAACTATTCAACAACCATCTTAGTGGTAGAGCCCAACAAGTTAAATTCGGTAAAACTCAAAGTTCACCCTCAATACTATCTGTTGGTGTGCCTCAAGGTCCAATATTTGCTGCATTACTAACACTAGCCTACAAATAAGAAACAAAAATTGCTACTAATATTATAATGGCTATACATGAGAGTTTAAAGCATCCTGACTACGGCTTCAACATCAAAAATTTCACATCACGTAAAGATTTTGAGTGATAGTTATTTTTATTTTATACAAGAATTTTCACATATAGGTGAATACAAGATCAAAACAAGAAAAAAAACAATATATTTTGAGAATAACAGACTTTATTTATACAATACACATGAAAAATCATCCAAATTGAGTCTTTTGTGCATACCTTTATGCAAATGTTGACTTTCGTTTATATGTTTCAATGTTTTACCTCATAAGGAACCATCTGCCTTGATAATGTTGCTCTATTGTCAGTATGTCTTGGTGGAACCTTTCCCCTTGATTTATGATCAAACTGTTGATCACTTAGTAGTTTTCTAATTTGTGGTCCAACAAATATACCTTCCTTGAACTTTGCATCACTTAATTTTGTGTTTAACGTGTTTAAGATATATAAACGCATCACATTTTTCATTAATCCCAGTTTAATGTGTAATGGAGGTAACACACCGTTTTTGGGATTAACAAGAGGTATATTCTTCACGTTAGCTAGACCTGGACTATATTTATCTTTTGGAGGTCATTATTTTACTTGATAATGGCTCTGTGTTGCCCTACTGTTCCAAATGCAAAGAAAACAGCAAAACTTCGTAAATCCGCCCTGAAGACCTATTAATAGTCCTATGACTTTTAGGTCAACCTGCTACTTTTATAGCGGTTCCCTTTTTCCGATATTATCTGGAAACTTCGAATATCGGAAGTTCGAGAAGCGGCGTTACGAGTCTCATATACAGCGGAAGCAGATTCGAATACTGGGCAGAGCCGCTGTGTTGCCAGATTTTAAACAATTTCCTCAGTTTAGGGGAAAAGCAAATTTGGAACGTCGTGTTCATTAAATTTCTGTGAAAAAAATCATAACTCAGAAATCTTACGTGTTAGGAAATCTACACTATCATTTTCGCGTTTAGGGACCAAAAATTAACAAAGAACTGCCTTTGGCATTACAGTCGTGAATTGGCTGTAAACTAGTGTAATTTGCTAGGTCACATCATATGTTATGCTGATGATACTGCATTGATTTTCAATGGCATCACCTGGAATTAAACTATTTACACAGCTGAGCAAGATTTGTGGGTAATTGGATTATGGCTAAGTAAATCTTGATATTCTTGTAAAACAATCGCCCCAAATATCGTTTAATTTCCCGAGAAGGTTCTAAGTATCTCCCTCGTTCGTAAAAGCTTACTTGGGATCTTATTTGTTCCGGGGTCAGCAATCCGAGTTGAACCTCGTCTGACTCTGAAGCTATTTTCAAGTATGACTACACTGAGGTCTAATCTGCCTACTCTCAAGTGTCGACTGTGGGTACACAGGTTCTGGTTCAGTATGTCTGTCCGTGGGCGAGTGAGGAGGCAGACTGGTGGTGGGAGCAAGAGTGAAGTTGGTAGTGGGAACAGGACTGTGATTTGCAGAAGCGGGGTGTGCAGGTCTATCAGACTCACTGACAGCCACAATGGATCCAAGGAACTAGACGAATTCAAATTCGCTCTTCGCCAAAATGACTATCCCGAATCCCAAATGCAAAGATCCATCCACTTTCTGCAAATCCGTAACCCATATCCCAAACAGCCCGACGGGTGGACCACCCAAAAGCCTTCCTCAAATTCATGAAGTTTCCGACAACGTGAGCTGAATTTTAAAGCGGCACGATACATCAAAAGTATTCACAGCCAACAATCAAATCAATTCCGTTTTGCAAAAACCTAAGGACATGAAACCCAATGAGGCACAAGGCATATACGAAACACCATGTTCCACCTGCTCCAGAACTTACATCGGCCAGACCAACAGAAGTGACTCCAGCAGAGACTATGAACATGAGCTTGGTATCCGTAATTCAGATCCAGGCTCATCTCGGATCTGAAGCAGGTTCTGCTGTTGTATTTGGATCCAATTCTTCTTATCACTGCCAAAAATCCTCTGACCTAGGGAAAGGCCAGCACTGGTTGTGACGGCTTCTGTTCTTTGCGAGACTCTTGCTTTCTTCTAGCCAAAGTCTGTTCCACCATCATTTTAGAATAACCATTCCGTTGAAGTTCTTTTCTGTAAAATTCACTGTGAAACATTGTCAATTACTTTCAAACAAACAAAATAATCGATTATTATTCAACAGTTATACAAGATAATTCAGGAATTTTTGAAGAAACTGAACGGAATAAAGTAATACTCTTGATGGATTTGAAAAAAATCTTAATGAAAAATGAGCAGCGAAAAAGAAATCATTAGATGACATTTAGTCTCCCAAAGATGGGAATACCTCAACAAATTATCAATTATTTTTTCCAGGTTAATTTCCAATGGTCATGTCCTCATCCGGTGGGACAGACTGTATGTTTTACTGTGCAATTCTACCAACGTAACGGACAGCCTTATCCAATCTGTGATACTGACAATTTTAGTGTTGATGTTTGTGGAGGAACGAAAAAGGTAATTGACTTGATTAATATCATCTCCTACGCTGCTCATTCCTGATGTTTTTTCTGGTTTACCAATAGGTCTTTGAATTTGTAAGAGCAGACAGATGTGTCATCACATTCAGTTTGGCTCAATTTGTATTGACTTTCTCGGTTTGGATAGTAACTACGATTGGATCTTTTTTCTAATTTAACGCTTCACGAGAAATGGAGCAGGAAAATAGGAAACTTTTCCTTGGCAAAGTGACCTTTTCAATACAAATTGTCGACCTTTGTTAATTAATAATATTAATTGGCAAACATGCAGTTTGAATAACAGGTTCTAGCAGGTACAAATCAGGTAAATTCATGGAAATGAATTTAACAGAGGTGAGAAATTACCTTCTTTGATTGCTTACGTTTATTAATTTCCAGGGATTTCAGCAGGTTTCATTTTTGTTCTTCATTTTCTATGTGTATTACGTTGTGTTCCATGTCGAAGTCAAGGTTGTTTTCCAATAGATGGCGTGCACAGAATGGGTATTTCGATTCTCTATCCAATATTGTTTTATATTTGAGTATTTTGTAGTTTTATATTCGTTTTAAGAATCTAAACGAACGATACATTCTTCAATAGAACAAAAAATGTATCGAATACTCACACCAGATTATCTGAACAAATGTTTAAAAGGTTCATTATTCACTTTCTGATAAATTCATTTCCTATATTATAGGATGTTTCTGGGGTAATTTCGTGTGGAATAGACATACAATTTCATGAATCCCTCACAAAAATCTAATACTGGGACCCAAACACATTTGCCTATATACCGATTTAGATAATTGTCATTGAACCACTTTTGATTAGCTAATACGATGGAGGACTATTTATATTTCGGGAACTGGCAACACTAATGTCAATAGGTAAAATATGACAACACCGTAATAATGTTTGACATTTTCTGCACAAACGTCTTGTCAAACAGGTGAATTTTTGAGCAGTCAAAACATCGAATTGATGCTTCATCTCCGTACAGTCCTGATTTGGCACCCAATGATTTCTTTTTGTTCCCGAATATCGAAAGTGAACTGTGTGGTCAACGATTTACGAGCACCGAAGATCATCAAGAGGAATATTTAACAATAATAACAATGAAACCATTTTCATCAAAAAATATTTGTTATCAGCTGTTCCCGAAATATAAATAGTACCCCTCGTATTTTCCCTGTGCCTGACTTTCGAATTACGATACCAAGATGTCGCCCAATTCTTGTTCCACTTTCAGTGCGGAAATTCTGGTGTATACCATTAGCCGGGCGCCTAATAATGTGTCATCTTCAATCCAAGTAATGTTTGTCAATAATACAAAATCTCATTTTCTTTTTTCAGCTAGCGATAATAACAGAACTGGGCTCCTCCACCGATCCGGACGGCGCGAACGTAGCCCGGGTGAAGTTCACGGTGCGGCATGCCGGCCAGTACCGCATCTCGGTGATGGTGGGCGAGCAGCACGTCGCAGGCAGCCCATTTGCGACAGTGTTCGTCGCAGGGCCGGCCTACGCCCAGCGGACCGTCGTCCTCCGGCACTGCAGCACTGTCGTGTGTACGGCCAACGTGGCGCATCTGCTCTACGTCGAGCCCAGGGACGAGTACAGCAACGTGTGCCGCTATAATGCGGGAGACGACCCTATCGAGGTAAGCATGTAAATCAAAACGAGGATAGGTCACGGACATAACATCAAAGAGAGAGGCAAATGGCGGACACTTGTTTCCGGCTATTGGGCTCATCAGAGCGGTGCCTCCACCTGGTGATCAAATGTAGAAAACACCACATACACGGAGTCATCAACAGGAGGCAGCCGTACATTTGTGGTTTCAGTTAGATGAAATACTAGGTCCTACAACTGAAGTTATGGGTTGTATACTTGTTAAAAATGAATTTATATCATCTCCACGTTTGTATACTCAAGATGACTGTTCTAAAAAATTGGTGACATGCTCTGGGGGTGCGATAGGGAAAGTAACATCAAATGTGTAGGACAAAATCAATACTTTTTTCAGAAATTATTCACTCTGTAACGGCGATCTAAAAACGTTATTTGATTTTGATATGACATCAAAGATATATCGAAAATTACTCACAGGCAAAAATCGTTTCTTCATTATGAATTTAGGAAGGTAAAAATGCTAAAATTCGGATAGAAGTAACCACTTTAACGCCTTCAAAAAAATCAATTAATTGTTTACTATTTTCCTAAACTATAAATCCATCTAGTTGAATTTGAAAAAAATAAATGAATCAATGTGGACTACTTTTGCATGAGCCAAAAACTCATGAGATCTTCCTCCTTTCCAGGCATATCCCAACTGGCTCAATGCGGACAGCCGGATGAATTGCCAGAACTGCCAGCCCCAGATGAACAGCGACTCCAGAAAGCAGCTATCCACCTACAGCAGCGTCTAGTGCTCCGCCAGTGGCTTTCAAAACATACCCTCCAGACTTACTACCCCAAATTGCTGGCCATCGAGGTGACGGGACTTGAGGACGTCTATTGGTTGGAGGACGGCAAGGCCAAACAGGTTAGTGTCATCACGATTCGTTCAGAAGAAATGCATAATTGCATAAGTGTTGAGTTCGAATAGTTTTATGGTTTTTGGAAAAATAAAATGACAACTTAGTGGATAAAACATAAAACTCAAAACGATTCATTCAAAATTACTAGTTGTAAATTTACAGTACATTTGTCTCATCATTTTTTTCTCACTCGTCATTGCTTGCTCGTAATTTTTTGGTCAAAAACAAGATTAGTCATGCCTCAGCCATCGTATTCACTGGATTTAGTCCCTTCTTTCAGGTCCCTCGATGAGGGACTGCCAGTAGAATCGCTACTCTTATCAGTTATAGCATAACCAAAAGGGTGAATAGAGGTGCTTAGGCTCTGTATATTGAACATCATAACATTGACATAAATAATAAAAAGAATGGGACCTAGTACAGATACTTGTGGTACTCCGTGCTCCATGGCTACAAAATCGGATACTTCATTTTCCCAGTGTACTCTGGCTTTCCTATTTACAAGGTATGACTTAAATAAATTTAGTTGTCCACCTCTAATCCCGTAGTATTCAAGTTTTCCAGCCATAATCTTATGATTTACCGTATCGAAGGCACGTGAAAGGTCATAGAACTACGCGTTACAGTATTCTTGTGTTTCGAAAGACTCCAATACTTTATCACAAACATCACCTAGGGCAGTAATTGTGGATTTTCCAGATCGATAACCGTACTGAAAGTTGGTAAGTAACTCATTTTTTTCAAAGAATTCCACTAGTCTAATTTTTAATACTATCTCAAAAATTTTTGCTAGGATGGGTATTATAGAGATGGGACGATAGCTATTAGCATCATCATGGTTACCTTTTTTAAATATTGGAGATATCTGGGAGAGTTTGAAAACTTCCGGAAAGGTGTTATGCTCAATACAAAAATTAATTAGATGTGTTAAGGGCTCAATGATAAAATCACTGATCAGTTTTATAATTATACTGTTCAATTCAAACACATCTTTGGCAGACGAGGTTTTTAGACCCTTTATGANCATGCAAAGAAGTAACTTTCCGACACAAACTGAATAAAAAAACTCCCATGAAAGAGCTACTTGTTGTATTTTGATTCTGACCTCGATAGATAGTTAAGTTATGTTATAATATATACTCGAACACTAATCACATAATTTTTTTATAATTAGGTGTTCAACAAAGACTTCCCCAGGTGGTCGACAGCCAGACAGTCTCTTCCGATTTCCAAGCAGCGACTGGAGGTGCTCAAAGCCGATCTCTGGTCCGAAGTCGTGAAAAGCAGTAACCACCAAGACGCATGGACATGGGGTGTGTGTTTTTTTTGAAATTCACTCTCCACTGAATGTTCGTATTACAATGTTCATATTTCTCTGTAATGCAGTAGTTGGGACTCGAAAGGTGACTAGTAGTGCGATGCAGAGAATTGAAGAGAATTAGTTGCAGGATGAAATGAGTTCGAAATTGTAGAAATTATTGTATCTCCATTCGGAGATCATTGAGGGGGTTGTAGGGGGTTTGGCACTCTTTAAAAGCAGGTTGAAAAATTGGGTATATGAAATGGACAGAAGCATATTACTTAACAAAATTGAAGCATGGCCATTACTCTCCCAACGAATATCGATCATATAACTGTTATTGTTTACTAGCAACAGCTCCATCTCGTGAACAAAGCCCCAATCGGGGAAGAAACATTTCATGTATAGTTCAAGTAAACGATATAGTGCACCTAACCTTCCAGCAGTTCCCTTTTAATAAAATAGTTAGGGAGGTAACTGATTTTGTTATACAATAACCATTTCTGATTATTTAAGAATCACAATAACTATTTTATATATATAAAACCTTTCTAGATTTCATATCATTTCTAGAAACATGTGGATTCGTTTTCCGATGGCATTTCAGGTTAGCTTCCCAAATTTCTGCTACCGCAGTTGTCGGTTGATTGGTTAAATCACCATCACTGACATAAAAACTTGGCAAGTTGACTTGGGTGTCACACCAATAGGTGGTTCCACTTATGTTTCGCTTGCGTTTACACAGCTATTTTTATCAAGTACTTTC